TGCTGTCATCCTCCTAACAGATGCTTAGACTATGGCCCTCAGGCCTGCAAAGTCAACCAAACAACACAAGCATTTAGTTGGTTTTGTACCTGGGTTTCTAAAACTCAGCCTGTCCTCTGGAACCAACCTGTTGTTTCTGGAGGGCTGGTGGGGAGGTACCTTGATTCTCACACCAGTGGGCTCACAGGAGGGGCAAACTGGCTTCTCTTTTTCTGGGCCCCACATGGCTTGAGTGGCTTACAGGAAGGGCAAATTGGCTTCCTGCTGTGCTCCCCCATACCCAGCATGGCTCCTGCTGACTCCTGGGAGGGGTACACTGGCTTCTGTCTTCCTGGGTCCTGAATGGTTTGCATTGCTTACAGGAAGAGCAGATTGGCTGCTTCATGTTCTCTTCCCAGACCCAGAAGAGCTTTTGCTGGCTTATGGGAGGAGCAGACTGGCTCCTCCTTTCCTGGATCCCACATGGCCTGCATCTTCCCTGCTCTTTGATCTTTTCCACCCCCACTTCACTTTCCCCTCTCTTGGGGGCTTTACCCTAATCTCCATACTGATGAATGCAGTTATCTTACTGACCTGTACTGTTTGGTTGCAGACTTTCTGTGAGTTGTGCGTGAAGATGGCACTAACCTGACCGTCCTGTGTAGAGCTCTGGATTTATTTATGACTCACATTTGGCTCACCATTTAAGAAATGCCTGCCACTGGGCAAAGCACCCAAAGTCTCTGCCCATGAACTGTAAGTAGAAGCCCCCACATCAAAGAACTGTCCTTAGAATAGCACAGACTGCAGGGAGCATGCTCAGGACAAAGCTTGGTCTCCAGAACTCTGCTTAAGTAATATTTTTTTTTTCTCAGAGGGTGTTTTTGTTACCTTTTATAGGGACTTTTATGCAGTTTATTTTATTGGGGACCATACAATAAAGTGCTTCCCTGGTAAACCCACGCATGCAGCGTTCGAATCACAGAAACATTTTCAGGAGCAACCAAGGATCTTGTGAAGAGCTGGGCTCAGCCAAGCCTTGGGGAGGCAGTGCAGGCAGCTTGTGAAGAAGCCTGTCTTGGGGACACACTGAAGTTCTGCTCTGAGAGAAGAGCAGGTGAACAACCCAGACGTTGGAGGTGAGGGCTTGTGTGGAAGGCTTCAGAGACAGTGTCCACGCAGGCTTGGACCAGGACCCCGAGGTGAGGCATCACATTTTGTGGAGAAGGTGCCTCTTTCTGAGCTGGGGTACTCACTGTGGCCAGAGACCCTGGGCAGGGATGTCTGTGCCTAGCACAGTGCTGGTGGTGGGGGGAGGATCTTGCACCCAGGGCACCACAGTGGACACCCCGAGGTCTTTGCCGGGCAGTGCTGCCAAAAGTGGCCTGGGTGGCATTGGTGCTTCCATCGGGCTCATCCCCCAGTCCTGCAACTTACCAACTGCATCTGCTCCCGCCCCCAGCAGGCCCATCCAGGTCAGGCCTTGACAAGCTCAGTTGGGGCAGTGACTGTAGCTACAACATCCCAGTGATGCAGAGCAGGTGGCACAGCATGGACTGGGGCCCGAGGTGGCTGTGCCTGGGAGCCTGAGCCCTAGCTGATGTTCCCATGCACGGCAATGCGATGCCAGGCAGCCAGGACCCAGCATAGCCCGGCCCCATGCATGCTCAGTCACCGCCCTCGCCTGCGCCCCCCACAGCAGTGGTGGCCACAGAGGAGCTAAAGCCAAGTGTGGATCACTGCAAGACTGACAATGATCCGCTGACCTGGAAGCTCACTGGGACCACCCACCAGAATATCTAGGTGGTGGAGTGTGGGCTGTGGTGGTGCTGGAGGAGAAGCTGAACCTGAAGCACCACTGTGACATGCTGGAACCCGAGGAGGACAGTCCATGAGGTGGGTCGCTGGCAGCTGAGGGCAGGAGGGGAAGCAGGTGTGAGCTGTAGCTCCAAACCTTTCTTGGCCAGAGAAGATTGGGAAGTCCATGTGTTCTCCTCAGGAGACAAACTGACCATTGGAATGAAGGTGCACGACTGACTGGGAGTTTCCTCTGGCTATGGGGAGCCGCGGAGGAAGGACAGTGCCCTGAGTCCTCCAGGGTCCAACTGGCTGGGGAGAAATAAATCCAACTTCCCCAAACTGCTGTCATTTTGACCCAGATTTTAGCGATAACACCAAGGTCAACAGCTGATGAGTAGGTCTGTGCCCAGGAACCCCAAAGATATAGAAGCAGTGTAACTGCTCAGGGTGACAGGGCACCAGTCTTAGGAGAACTCGCTGATGCCAGCCCACAAAGACTGGCAAGCTTGGATCCCCTGGCTTTAGTCATTCTTGCCATGGAGCTGTCACGGCACACCACTTTGCTGGGCTGTCTGCCTTTGGCTCACCTCTGAGCCCACCTATAGCACAATTCTACCTCTAACACTAACCACATAGTAAGCCTACCCCTAATTTAACTCTAGTACAGGCCCTAATCCTAAACCTAACTCTCACCCTAATGATAAACCTAACCCCAAATCCCACATTAGCCATAGTCAAATCCCAAAAGTAGACCTACACCAAAGCTAGAGTTAGCCTTAATCACAGGCCTAATTTGAAAGATAACATAAACCTAAACCTAACGAAAAGCCTAGTCCTGCACTAGCACTATTCTGATGCCTGAATCTAACCCTACACCTAACTCAAAGACTAGCCCTGTCTCCAGAGACCTAATACTAACACTAACTATAGCTGTACACTTTCCTAACCCTAGACTAACCTTCAATTTAGCCATAACTAGTACTACCTCAAACCATCACACTAAACTTAACCCTAACCCTAGCTCTAGTGCCAGCCCTAACCACAACTCCAACCACCACTCTAACACTAACCCCACCAAGTCTACCACAGCCCCACCATTGACACATTTTCCATTTTGGAATAAATTTTCCTGTGAATATGGGACTCTTCTGAATCCTTTCCTTAGGGAAAGCAGGTGCTATCTCAGGTTTTGAATTTTCTGGACCAGAAAGTTGAACTTCACTGCGATTTTGGGGGGCAAGTTTGCTGAGCACTTATTGTAGGCTGATGCATGAACTTGTTTCTATAAGCATTGTGGTTTCTTCTGTGTCCTAAAATGTGTTGTTTCTAGTAAGAAGCCCCCTGGAATTTTACGGTGACACTAAAGATGGGTTGTGAGTGGTAGCTTTAGAATTGAGAGGCAGCTCAGGAAAGCACACCTCTTGATGTGTCCCTGAAGTGTAACACAGGACACTATATCGGACACCTGGCACACGCTCTCAGGAATAATCAATCTGCTCTGCTTCCCAGATGCCATGAAGTAAGCAGCTTTGCCCTTCTGCCACGATCTATCTGCTTCAGAGCCAGCCAGACGTGGACTGAGTTTGCTGAAACTGTGAGCCAAGGAAAAGTCTCCTTCTTACATTGTGGGTGTCAGCTACTGATCTCAGTGAGCAAATACAAAGAACTGGGACTAGAGAAGTTGAGTCCGAACAGCGACTGCCTGAGACCATGAAGTTCAGATGCATTTGGGACAGTTTTGAGGGAGGGATTTGGGGATGTTAACAGCTGTGTGCTAGAGAAGCCCTGCAATGCCATAAGCAAAGTCTAGTGGGTGTTTCTGATTGGATCGCAGATGCCCAGAGTGCTGGCAAACTGCAGAGAGCGGAGCCAAGTCTCAGGAGGTCTCAGGTGGGAACTTCCTGTGCATGTTACATTCTGGCCAGAGAGAACTTGTCTGCACTCTGCACAGGTCCCGAAACCTTCATGTCTTTCTCACTTTCCACCTGTGAGACAAGATACTTGACACCCGCAGTTTAGAGGAGGAGGGGTTTGTTTGGGCTCAGACTTCTAGTCTCTGGTGGACTGGCTCCAAGGCAGAAACAGGAGGGAAGAGGGACACGGCCAAGGGAAAGGTGCTCAGGCCACAGTGGTCAGCAACCCCGTTCCCAGCAGCCTCACATCCTGACAGCACATCTACCCCCTGAACTCATCAGTGGACAAGTCCTCTGTAGAGTATGCTGCCCTTCCCATCCAATCAACTTCCAAACAGAGGAGACTTCTGAGGGGGACTTCACGTTAAAAGGTATCACCCCCCCCTTGTTCCCAAGGACTCATGTCTATCTCATGAGAATGAATTGAGTTCCTCAGAGTCAAGTTGATATGTCATACGCATTCCAGGGCTATGGAAATCCCATAGAGTATTCTTATCAAAAAACAACAAAGTAACCATTCTTATCACTAAGGAGCAGGACCACAAACTGAACCTCAAGGAAGAGGGGCAGGAGCCAGCAATAGGCCGAGCTAAATAGAAGGAACAGGCCCCCATGTGCAGACAGCACCAGAACCAGGGCATGAAATGGAAATGGTGCACTGCAGGGCAGGGCAGCGCCCTGAGTCTTTCCTTCCCCACTGGATCTCAGGCTCCAGTCCACAGCCCATTAAGACGGGATGCCTGGGGAGCCTCCACACAGTCCCCTCACTATGCCCTAGAAGCATCCAGGTGACAAGGTAAGGAGATGCCACCCAGGCCTGCTGGACCAGCTCTGACTTGGGACCCTGCACAGCCTGATGTGCGCCCTCTGCCGGCAGCATCTGCTTCCTGCTCCTCATCTGATCCTTGCTCTTCAGTCCCAGGAACCTGCTGGCCAGGAAGCTGATGGAATCCAGTGATTCACAACCAAATGAAAATCAGCATAAAGGGGATAATCACGACCAGGGCATCAGGACCCCATCCCGTATCGTTCCTCTGTCCTTCAGAACCATAAATAAGCTTTTCAAGTTCAAACTGTGATAGAAAAAACTAGAGTGAAGATAATTGCACAGCTAGCTTTGATTCGTTCCTTGAAAGCAAAGTTTTGTACTAATATTGTTTAGATGCTATAGGATGCCTACATCCTGTACTCCGAATAGCTACCTGGAAGACAAAAGCATGCAGGGTATCAAGTATTGTCGCTGTCCTACTATCCTGTTCGGAAACTCAGTTTCATTTTGTCATGTTCTACTCTTAAAAATAAAAAAGATTTTAAAATTTAAAACATTTAATATTTTTATTTAAATATCTTTGTGGGGTTTTTCCTTTTTATGCAAATTAATTAACATTTTTTGATATTTTAAAGAACCCTTGGATTTATAATGTATTTATGAAGAAATAAATTTGTAGAGTTTTTCTTGCTCCTCTAGACATCAGAGCAAATAAGTCAGGAGAAGAGGGATGCGGAGGCAGGGACTGAATTGGGGAAAGAGGGCACACAGCCCTGGCCCCACTTCCCCAGGACCTGCTGGTGAAACTCTTTAGCTTAGACTGGGTCCTGTGGTTTCCTCTTCTTCAGCGTGTTCCAAAGCAGAAACCACTGTACTCGAGGTGAAGGCCCAAGCCAGTCCGCTGTGCAGACTCTCACTCTTATGCAGCTGGGGTTCTGGGGGGCACCAGGCCACAGCCTCTTCAGCTGGAGGCTGCTCAGTGTGTGCAGGGCTTCCCTCTGCAGGATGTTTGGGGAGAGAGCAGCAGGCACTGAGTGTGTGCCCCTTGCCATGCCTGCTCCTGCCCATCCCTCCCAGGACTGCACTCCTCATCTGAGGCTGCAGCATGCTTGGTGGGTGGGGATCCCACAGTGGGCTCCTCGCCACGGCTCTGTGCAGTGCCCTTAAACTCATCCTGACAGGACCTGCAATCTGTTTTCAGGATCAGAACCACCTCCTGCAGCACAAGCAGCATTATTTTACCAAGAGGGACAGAGGCTCAGTGCCCACCCTGACCCAGCCTAAGGAGACATCCAGACCTACCTTCTCCTCTCCCTTCACTGGGAACAGCTGGTGTATATGTTCCTCCTCCTCCTGCTGCTGATCCTCTGCCTCCATCTCTTCCTCCTGCTCCTCCTCCTTTTCCTCTGCCTCTTCCTGCTCCTCTACTTGTTCGTCCTCCTCCTCCACTCCTTGATCCTCCTCCTCCTGCTTACAACTCTCCTCCTCCTCCACTACTTCATCCTCCTCCTCTTCCTCCTCCACTTGTTCATACTTCTCCTCTTCCTCCTGATTCTCCTGCTCTTCCTCCTCTTCCATTGGTTCATCCACCTCCTCCTTCTGTGTGTCCTCCTCCTCATAATTCCTCTTTTTAAGGACTGGCCCCTGTTTGGGGCAGATGTCAGGGTGCTCGGCTGTGCAAAGGAGAACAATAGTCACAGGTCACTTGCAGGCCTCCCCAAATCCCAAACCTTAGTGCCTCTGCTACAGGGGCCCTGGCCCAGCTCACCAGCGGTGCTGGAATCACCACAGAGCAGCAGGCCCTGACATGGCAGCTCCTGCACACTCTCTTCAATCACTGCCTTGTCCTGCAAGGCCTGCACGAAATAGGAGGCAGAGCACAGAGTCAGGGCTCTGTGGCAACCTGTCCTGTCCACCCTTCTCAGCCTGGTGGAACAGCCTCTCCTGCAGTTGCACTGTGGCCACATGGTCCCCACTGGTCCTTGGTACTGAAGCCTCCTCCTTAGGTTTGCCCTGGGTCGGGATTGCCACCAGTCTATGCTCGGGCATGGCTGCCTTTGCATGATGACTGGGTGGCTGAGCCCACTATTTCTGCACAGCGGTGGGACCTCTGTTGACAAATACCATCTGTGGAGGCAGGGTGTGATTCTGTGGGGGGAGCTCTCCAGATGACAGTTGCATGGGGTACAAAGGAGCCTCCCTTCTGCCACTGGCACCTGTTGCTCCTAGGGGATGGGGTGTGACCACTGCTTCCAGAGAAGGTCCAGGGAAATGAGGGGATGGGAAAATCCAAAGTATTGGGATGTTCTAAGGGACCTCAGAGGGAGAGGCAGGGAAGGAGACCCAGGGCAGGCTCAAAGCAGAGCCCAGCCTCACCTCGGCCTCTGAGCTGCCCACAGCCTCAGGAGTGGTGCTGTTGGTCTGAGGGCTCTTCGTGTTTCTTTCCTCCACATCCCCTTCATTTCCAATTGGGAGCAGTCAGTCAGGAGGGTCCCCAGTAAGCCCCACAAGGGAGGCAGAGCAGTCCCAGGTCCCCTCCACCCACCTCACCAGGTCCCCCTGGGCCACCACCCTCTGGGAGAGAATGAGCAGCCCTCTGCCATCTCTTTCCCCTCCACTCTCTTTCTCAGAGTGCTCCTCAGCCCATCCAGCACTGACCCCTCCACTCACCTTCCCGGGGCAGTGCCAGATCTCTGCCCGGGGCTGATTGCTGTTTCTGCAGCCTGGAGGATTGCACCACTTCCTGTAGGTAAGGATGGAGAGTGACAAGTCAGAGGCAGCCAGGTCCTCCCAGGCAGGGGCCCAGCCTCAGCAGCCTCAAACACCTGGGTCTTCCTCAGGTCTTGGAAGATGTTCTGCATGGCCTTGTTTTCTTGTTCGTGTTTCTCCTGCAGCTGCATTACTAGTTGGGAGAACTGCCACTGAAGAGCCTGCTTTTCAGAGGCCAGCTGTAACCAGGCCTCAGTGCCCTGGTACAGGGTGCCCAGCAGCTGGTCTCTCTGCAGCTGCAGCACCTGGGCCTCCTGGCTCTTCAGCACCACCTGCAGAAGACCCAGAAGTGAGGGCAGGCATCCCCTGGGGCCTCAGCACCCTGAGCTCAGAATTTTGGTAGGGGCCACTCTGAACTGCTGGCCTCCTGTTCCCAGCCTCCAGCCCTGGAACCTCTGTTCTTGAACTTGGACTTCATGCCACAGCTGTGGAGGATCAGATGGAGCCATGCCACATGTGTTCTAAGTGGTCTCCTCTAGTCTCCAGCGTGCACACATAGTCTCTGAAGAAAATGCTAACATCCAGTGGAAGGGATGGCAACTGAGGCTGGGGATGGGCATCACTGAAACTGTGACCAGTGAAGCTGAGACCTAGCCCAGTGTGAAACCAAGGAGCCTCACTCCTACCCTGTCTCCTCCTAGGAGTAGGATGACTCAGGCTTCTGGCAGAGAAGTGACATCAGGACCTGGTTAGACCCCAAGGCCACACAATTCCAATAGTCAGAGGCCTAGAGCAAGAGACACTCCCAGAATTGCTCTGCCAGACACTGCAGGACTCTGGAGTCACCTGTCAGCCCTGGTATAGGAGATCAGGTCTGGCCCTAGCACCTCCCCTCCCCATGGGCGGCACCTCTGTCCTAGCCCAGTCCCATGGGGCAGGAGTCACCTACCACTGCCTTGAGTTCCAAGATGTCCTCCTGCAGCTGGCCCAGCTTCAGAGTCAACTCCTGGTTTCTCAGCTGCTCTGAGCTCAAGGTGGTCACTATATTGGTGTTCTCTTCTCTCTACAGAGAATGGTAATCAGTGCCACCTGCACAGGCAGATCCGAGACGCCACCTCGGTGTCTACAGTGCAGGGCAGGATGCAGAATCATCCTCTGCCTGCAGGAGCTGCCCCAGCAGGGTTCTGACTCACAGGACACTTTCATGATTGAGGGGGACAGTGGCCCAATGTGTTGTGGGGGAAGAATCCAGAGGGGTTAGTGTGCTGCTGTGCCCTCAAGGTGCTGGCAGTGAGGAGCCCAGGGAGCAGTGGACACACACCAGCCTCTGCAAGCTGTCCTGCATCTGGGCCAGCTGCCCCTTCATCACGCAGCTCTGCACTCCTAACCCAGCCACGGTGGTCTGCTGTCCCTCCAGTCCCTGCTGCAGGGTGCTCCTGTGCTGAGCCTCCTCAGCAGCCCACAGCTGGGCCTTGATCTCAACCTGAAGAAGGCGCTGCTCCTGCTGGCTGGCTGTGTTCCTCAGGGCCAGGTTTCTTCCTGGGTGGTCTTTAGCTGCCCTGAGAGGCACTCCAGCTCTGATCTCACCTGCTGCAGCTCCAACAGCAGCTGCTCCTCTGCCCTGGAGGGCCCTGCTCGGGGCTGCGGGACTGGGGCACAGGTGAGAAAGGAGGCAGCCATAAGGGTCCGGGCCTCTGGGCCCTGAACAAGCTCCTCAGTCTCAGCCCCACTGCAGGCTCCTCGCTTGGGCCTTGGCTTCCTCATGACTGATTCCTCACGCCCACAGCATGGCCAGGCCTAAAACCAATTCCCTATATGGACCCTGGGTGTGGGTTGGCAGGGGGCACAACACTCTCTGCAAATGGGGATACTGAGGCCCAGAGGTAGGACTAAATTGCCAGCTCCTGGCACAGATGCCTTTCCCTTTAACACCGTGCCCTTGAATCCACCCTCCTCCCTGGGGCAGTGTGAGCCCCACCCTCAGCCTGGGCACCCGCCCTCCCCAGGTCACCCTTGTGCCCACTCACCCCTGCAGTTCTTCAGTTCGCTCAACTTTACAGGAAGCTTCTCAGCATTCTTGTCCCGAACCTCCTTCAACTCATGCACCTGCCAAGGCACGGGGGACAATAGATGGAGGAAGGGACCAATGAGCTCAGACACTCCTAGCACCCTAGCATCTGTCCCATTTTCCCTCTTCGGGCCCCAAGCCGCAATCCTCTCTTTGACACTCTCCCACTGAGCTAGAACAGGCCCAGCCCCAGAATGCAGGATTCTCAGCACCTGACCTTGTTCTCATCTGCACCCTGACCCTCTACTGCCATTGCAGCCCCATCCTCAGCTGCCTGGCCACCCATGTCTCACAGCTTCATGGGGGAGATATTCTCCTCCACTGGCAGGCTTAGGTTTTATGCTTTTTAAAAACTTACTCTTTTGTCCACTGGAGAGTGGTCAGACTTCTTCTGTTTTTGAAATTGTCTTAGCTGCAGAAAGAGAAGCAATCATACTCTTAAAAGCAATGAGCTGCTGTGTTCACATCCTCCTGCATACTTTCTGTAGCACACTCCTATGCACACCACTTGCTTAACGCTGCCAACAGCCCAGCAGCTCACTGTCATGATCAGCTAGTCACTCAAGAAATGAGCAGTTAACATGGCTGGCTGGACACCAGAAAGTAAGAAATGAAAGAAAAGAGAAAGAGAAAGATAACTTGTGACTGGGGTGTAGGCCTGTAAACCTAAACACAGGTGGTGTCGCAATAACAGGATAAGAATGAGGGAAGCTTGAGAGGATAGAAGCAATTAAGTGCCTCCTCAAAAGAAAGAATACAAAATAAAAAGCGCTGAGCATGGAGCCCTGTGCTCCCTGCACTTAACCCCTAGTTGTTCAGGGAAAAGAGACAGTAACAGGCTGGGCTACAGCTCAGTAACAGAGAGCTTTTGAACGCTATGGGATTAGCCATCAGTAAATCACAGACACACACACACACATACACACACACACACACACAGAGGAGAGTCAGAGGTTCAGGGACAATTAGAAAACATTCTGGGTCACTGTTAGAGACAACCCCTGGGAAAAATCTAACACACATGAGAAATTCTGTGGCCACCCAGAGAGATTTTCAGCCTTTTGAGGTCCCTGATAAAGTTTTTATGTTATCAGTGTCTCAGTTAAGGTGCCCAAACCTGTGACCAAAACCTCTCTGTACCCATTCCCATGTTCACAGGCCCTTCCAGACAGAAATCTGTGTCTCCACCAGAGAAACCAGAAAGGGGTTAAAGCTGCTTTAGGGGACAAAGTGGGAAGACTAAGGGCCAGGTGAGGGTTAGTGATGACAGTGTCCAGTGGAAAGGGCCTCAAGCACATTCTATTCCCCCCTCCTTGTGCCCACAATCTGTGTGTGCCCCCACCCTGCTCTGTGCCCACACAGGGCAAGGGAAGGAGGTCCTCTGATGTAGGGCTCAGGGAGGTAAGTGTGTGGGATGAATATGAGGCCAGAGCCAAGCCCCTCGTGAGGCCTACAGGTGTGACCCTCTGGAGGTGGAGGCATCCATTTGGGCTGGGAGGAGAGGGGCTGTGAGAGGACTTGAAGGGGGCACTGGAGTGCTGGGGGTCCCTCCCCATTTGCTTCCAGGGGGTATAGACTCTGCCAAGGAGCTGCTGTCTGGGACTTGCTCTGGGTCCAGGGGCTGGGACCCTGTTCGATTTACCTTTTTCTTGGCTGCAGACAATTTCTGTTTTCTGATATCTTCAGGTATTCCAACACAGGGAGAGGGAAAGGGATGGGACCACTTCATGACAATCCCTTCCATTACAGGGAAACTTCCTCCAACACCCTCCACTGAACTCCACAACCTGCCCACAAGAGGGGTAACCAGGGCGGAGCCAAACACAACACAGCGGGGCGTGGCCTCAGACCTCCCATACCATTGGCCCAGTGGAACTGTGACATCATAAGGGACCTAGTGAGGCCTTCTCTAGGGAGTGGGGGATGGGTGGAGTGCCATTAAAGCTGCAGACTGCTGCTGTTCTTGGCCACCCCTGGGAGCTGGGACAGGAGGGGCTGGGAGGAAGGGAAACTAAAGTACCAGAAATACAACAGAGTAAAAGCATAGAGAAAGATGTGAGGACCTCTAGTAAGGAAAATGTCATGGCACAGCTCCTTTGAAATCACATAAGAGCCAGGCATGATGATGTACACATGTAAACCCAGTGCTCCAGAGACTGAGGCAGGAGGATCGCCCTGAGTATGAGGGCAGCCTGGTTCAAGAGCCTGAACTGCCTGTCAAGATCATATCTCAAAAATAAAAATAAAATGAAATAGTCACAGAAAACAGACTTTGAGGCAAACAGTATTCACTCTTAAAAGGGGCCACACTCTGTTAAAATGTGAACTTCATCAGGCAATGATGACGAGCTTGCATTTGCCTGACCTCCTTTGTCACCTGGTGAATCCTCCTCATCTGCCAAATCTAGTATGTACCAGGATCCAGATCCTAGATCATCCCTATGATGATCTTTCTCTTGCCTCATAGTGATCACCTTCAGTTCTGTGGCATCAAATACCAGTGCACAGCAACTGTAGAAGTTGTGTCTTCAACCAATAGCCTATTGTGAAATCCAGGCTCATGAAATCAGTAGTCTCTGTGACATTTCCTTTGCATGTCTAATAGTATCTCCAGGCTTCTATATCCCGAATTCAGCCTTCAGTGTCACTCCTAGAATGTGTTCCCCTCTCAGGCTTTAGCGTGTCAGGTGCAGGAGACTCCACCATTCCAATTGCTTAGGCCTAAAGCCATGGAGGCATCTTGGGTGGCCACTTCCTCTCTTAGCACTCATCCTAGCAGCCAGCCTAGTAACTGTTCTCTTCCTTTATCATGGTGTTAAGGATTGAACATGGGGCTTTCACCCTGAGCTGTTAAGTGCCTGGGTTCTTTCTTTCTATGGGTTTGTAGTTTTTTCTTGACATTCTGTGTTTGACAGAAAGGCATAATTTGATTTGTGTCCACCCCTGTTGTCCCTACTCTACTCCAAGCTACTGTCTCCTGTCCTCTGTCTCCTGTCCCCTGGGTTGTTCTGTTTGCCTTTTCTCCCTGAGACCATGCTTCTGCCTTGGAGTCTATGTTTGCTCAGATTCAGACCTTCCAAAACGCTGATGCTGAGACAGGATCCAATGTCCATGTAATTGATTGTGGGAAACTTGGGAGTGACAGTGAGAAGAGAATCAGGAGGCATGGGCACAGCTGTAGCTCACGACCCCACAACAGCCTGGCTCAACTTTTCCTAAGCACAAAAAAGCCTACAATCATTTCTTTTAACCTACCTTCTCTCTTTCACGTAACATCAGACTTACATTATAGATAGCAGAGCTTAGTAATTTCCAATGTGTGCTGTAAGTGCTAATTTTGCTGCTGTCTTTAAAAATATTTTTTTGTGAGAAGTGTTTGTGCTTGTAAGTCTGTGTTTGTCTGTTTTAATTTGTACTTTGTGCCATTAATTTAAATGCTCATCTAAGGACAGATGAACTAGAAGTAATGTTATTTGAATAGAATCATGTATTCCTACTAATGTGACATAAATATTGGCCTTCTGTTAAGTAATATAAAGAAAACATTCTCAAAAGGTATGTATTTCTTTCATAAGCACCCTACTATTAAGATGCAGCAGACACTGAATTGTATCATGGTATCTGTCACTTTTTCCTGAGACACCAACGATGAATACTTGGGGACCAGAAACTCATGCAGTTTCAACCCAGGGTATCCAGGGACCCTGCTATTCCATTTTCAGAGAGAGCTGCATCCAGTGCAGAGGTCAGGGGTGCTGGGTTTCATGGTGATGTTTCCTGGTATTTTCCTGATTTCTCTCGTACATCTTTTAATTCTTTTGTCATTTTCATGCAATAAAGTTTGTCATAAAACCAAATGATACTTAATGAAAACATGTCATTTTAATTACTTTACTATTAGCATTTTGATAGCTATGCATAGACAGCAGGAAAACACTAAATGCTAACATGATTACAGGGTGACACAGTATCATTTTCAATGTCCTCCTGTATTTTGTGTGCTTTTAAAATGTCATCACAGTATAAATGAAAGCACTGAAAGAATCACCTATGGTGACAGATATTTAGATGAATTTATGTCAAGATTTTGAGAATTGCAAATTGGTCCTTATATTATTATTTTGTCTTTTCTTAATTCATTTACTTTGTCTTCCACCTTTCTTACGTGTGTACAGATCGGGGGACATGCACGGTAGTGCTATGTGATGTATAACTGGTTTGTAAAGTACAACAGCAAGGCTTAGAATCCACTTTCCCTCTTAGAGAATACTGAGTTTTTAAATAAAGATCAGCAGATCTCAGTAACATTCAACAGAAATTGGGAACAACAACAAAAAAAAACCAATATAATATACCCTGGGGAATTACAATGAGGGACACAGTTAAGAAACTAATTTATGGAAGTCATGGGTTGGAGAAGGTGGGATATTTTCACCATGTGCTGTGCTCTTCTGATCTGTTGTGAATATACCATGTGGATTTTAGTGGGTAAGAGGGACTCATCTAGTCAGCCACAAAAGTTTTCTTGAACACCTCGGCAGGTAGTTGTAATACAGAAAAATATTGGATCAACAGCAGCCTCAAAAGGGCAGAAGGATGAGTTTGACAGAAGCTGCTCAGGCTTAAGGCTCATGGAGCCCTTTCCACCTGCATCCCTAGCAACCATTCACCTGCTGGCTCCAGCGGGTCCTGAGCCCTGGACAGTCGCCTTCCAGCACATTTAAGGTGCAGGGCTCCCTGCTGACGCTGGAAGGACCTGTGTTTGACAGGCAAGTGTGAGACCGTGACAGCTAGGAATAGCTCTGCTTTAGCTCCATCTGCTGCATGATTTTAGATACCAGTGGAAAGAGAATGAGATAGAGTCATTACACGGACTTCTCAATTAACCGTGTTTCTGTATTATGGGGTAAGACAATATGTCTACAGAACTGAAAACAACAGCAGTCTTGCCAGAAGACATGCATTCTCTGGAATAACTAACTGTGAGAACTGTTGTCCTGACTTCTTATGACATCAGTTTCTTCATCTATACGAAGGAGATAAACCTGCCCTCAATTCTCATAGTTTTTTCTTCTGTTTTCTTTTCTCCTTCTCTTCTGTCTTTATTTCCCTCACTTTCTTCTCCTCCTCTTCAGCCTTCTTTTTCTTCATCATTGCTGTCATTGTCCTCATTGTCTTCTTCATTTTCCTGATCCGCCCCTAACTAGTGGAAATTCACATTCTTTGTACTGAGGCTCCTTCTGTTCTTTCCTTTTCTTTTTTTTTTTTTTTTTTTTAATTTTGAGTCAGTCTCACTAATTCACTAAACAGGGAAGACTGGACTTGAAGTTGTTATCCTTCTGCCTCAGCCTCCCAGAGTACTGAGATAAGTCTGCATCATACTCCCTGGCTGCACAGATTTAGTTGAAGTGTCTGCTACACCATCTGTAGACAGCAGCATACTCATAAGACATATCATTGTCATCTTATTGGTTTGCCAGGAAATGGGTTTCTGGCAATGCAGTACACTTTTATTTATTTATTGACATTTTGAAACAAGGTCTTGTTATGTACTTCAGGGTGACTTTGAACTTGCAGTGATCCTCCTGCCTGTGCCTCCCAAGTGATGAGATTACAGGCATGCACCACCACACCAGATATACATGATGTACATTTAAACTATAGCTGTACTGCTTGGTTCTGATTACAGATAAAAGGGAAATGATTAGCAAGTAACCATAAATGGATCCACATATGAAAACCTTCTAGTTTAACTTGCATTTTTCACATCCCAGAATCTCCAGATCTGAGAGATGGCAGTGGAGAACTGCACTGCATTTTTTTATAAAAGGACTGGAGAGCACCTGCAGGTCTGGAACCACCGGACTAATTGGCCCGGGCGGTTGGGAAGCCAGACTCAAAGGAACTGCTGAGCTAAAGCCAGCCCCTGCACTGCATTTTTGGAATTGGTTTTCCTAGGGCTTTGCAGTAGAAAGGATGTGCAATGGGGGCTCTTTGTGTTCTTCCTTCTCATTTATGGTGTAACTGTGGGTGCCAGTGTAGGGATGATCCTGCCTATCTAAATGGACCCTAGGCTTCACCCAGCCATGTATTGTTTCCTGGGCCATCTGTCTTTGTGTGATGTCTGCTATTCTGCTGTCTCCCCCAAGATATTTGCTGATTTCCTATCTGAACAAATGAGGATTCCATGCAATTTGAATGCCATTCAACTGTATTTGTTGGGTGCATATGCTGATGTGGCATGTCTCATGTTGGCTGTCACAGCCTGTGCTCTTTACATTGCCATTTGTAATACACTCCTTTATACAGTCTCAATGTCCAGGAGGGTCTACAACCAGCTGGTGTCTTCTGTCAATATTGTAGGCTTGGTGAATTCAGCCATCCACACCAGCTGCACACTTTGATTGTTCTTTTGCACCTCAAATGTCATCAATCACTTTTCCTGTGACATGCCACCTTGCTGGGATTGTCTTGCTCAGACACATCCGTCAATGTGATTATGATGCTCAATTTCATCAGCTGTGTCATGGGGAGCTGTGCTGGCACCATCCTCCTCTCCTACAGCTCCATCATCACCAGCATCTTTAGGATGAACGCAGCTGAGGGCAGATGCAGAGCCTTTTCCACCTGTACCGCCCACCTCACAGCTGTGGCCATGTTCCACTGTGCCCTCTTGTTCATGTATTTCCAGCCTGCTCAGTTACTCCATGGTCATAGACTGCATGCCCTCTATCTTCCACACAGTTGTCACTCTGGCACCAAACCCCTGATCTACAGCTTTAGAAATAAGGTGGTGAATGGAGTTCTGGAAAAAAGCAATCAGCACTTCACAGAGTGCTGCATAAAATCGTGTTTCCTCCACAGAAGAGATTTGACAATTCTGAGAGTAAATCTCCAGAACTTTGATATGGATCTCACAGTAAGCCATCACAGATGCTTTCTGCTTCTCCTCCGTGTGTCTCTTTGAGTATAAAGAGCCCAAATGACTGCGCTTTGTCAGCCTTCTAAGATAATGGAAAATGAAAAGAGTATCATTTGGCTGTTTGCAAAAAGTGTTTTTGCTCTGTCTCTCTTATTTACTGATAAGTGCATCTCAGGGAGATATCTTGAAGTTTCTCCCCAAATACTAACTGAATGTACCATGCATTTGTAGTTTTAAAAGAAGGGGTATAATACCACAATTGCTAACCCAGAAGGGAACACTGGCGGTCAAACTTTATCTTCTCAGAGACCCCTCTAAGGGGACTTTCACTCTGTGATATCCAGCACAACACTTAAAAACAAATAAGCAGTAAATAAGTAAGAGTATTTTCTTGCTTAGACTCCAAACTCCAGAACAAGTTTCCAAGCCCTTGGAATGCATAGTTAAGTTTAGAACAGATCTGCAAGACAACAGTCACCAGAATCAACAATATTTTCAGGGACATTTGCTTTGGCTATTGTACCCACCTGCCCTGATAAAGACAGTTTATACAGGTCAACATGTGTATACCGTTCCTTCCCGGTCCCCTGACCAAAACCCCTCTACAAACACTGCAAGTGCTTTTCTTCCACACCTTTGTTCTCATGAACCCGAGTCGCTGCTGATTCTTGAGGCTTTCTCATGCAAAGAGACAGCCCCTCTGGGTTTCTCAGTAATGAACCAAGGCTCATCCCTGAAGAACCTTTCATCCTCTGCTCCACCATGGTCACATACTGCAACAAAAACGAAAGCTTTTTTCATTTCGTCTTCAGCCCTTTGTCATTCCAAGCCAAGCAAAGGATGGCCTTTTATGTGCTATTATGTAGAATTACTGGAAGGTTAAAGGAGATCAGCAGATGCAAGCACTGTGACAAGAAATAGACACACGATGTTATCACAGAGGTATCAGAGCCATGAATGGCATTTTCAATCAATGAGAACAATGGTGACATTTTTAACTATCAGAGTAACTGCCCAACATCTGTTGTTCCTGTTACCATTCCCTTGAAGCTTCTTTCCTCCTCTACCCTTATGTCAATGTCTATTAGACACCCAGGGTTAAAGTTATAACTAATACCTTAATAATTTCAAGGAAATACCACTATTTCATTGAATTGCCCTTTCACTTTCAAAAGAAACTCACTAGCTCGTATTTTGAATAGTATTTGTTTCTTCTGTTTTAAGATGGCTTAACAAATAGTATTTGTTTCTTCTGTTTTAATTTGGGGCTGAGAGTTTGCCTAGCATGTGAAAGACCCAAGGTTCAATCCCTGGTACCACACACACACAAAAAACTTCTCGGTGTAGGACTGCAAATTGGTATGACTCGAGAGTTATCCAACAAAGCAGCCACCACTAGATCCATGTGTACACCTCAAATGAATCAAAATTAAGTGGAACAAAAAATGCAGTTCCTCCAACTAGTCACATTTCAAGGTCAGAAAGTCACCTATGCCACATGGCTGCTCTTAACAGCATCATACCTCATCTGAGTCTGAAAAGCTGGTGTCAGTTATTCCATTAAAGGTGTCTTCTTGAACCTCCAGACCTCCAGCAGAGTTGTGCTGACCCAGGTGCAGATGCTGAACTTAACCCAAATCCAGAGGCCCAGTGGGCAGGGGCACCTCATAAAGTGGGCATCTGTGTGTATTAAATGATCTGCTTAGCAATAAACCAGAAGAATGAGTCTTCAAACAACAACAACAAAAAATCAAACTGTTTAAATAAGCCCCTATAAATAAAAATAGCAGAGTAGAAACTGGCAGCAATATACAGGACCTGGAATGGAGACACCTAGAAAACAACTCAGTGAAGAAAAAAAGAAGTAGGCCTCTGGGCACTGGGAGGGAGTTGACTAGAAAACTGGGAACTACAGAGAAGCCAGAGCAACCAAGCACCATGGAAAGAGAATAATGAACAGCAAAAAGACTAAGCCTCGCTCCCAGGGAGGACCTGCCTCAGCCAAGACAAAACAAGAGGGCTGGCAGCGCGCCCCAGGAAAACTCACACTACTGTAAACGGAAAGATCAGCACCAGGAATCCCTCTGAACGTGACTTCCTGCAGGGGACAGGAGCGAGCTGGAGAAACACCGCAACAGCCCCGGAGTGGAGTATTTATTCAGGAGCCATTACTCCACCAAAGTGGGCAGGAGCCAACCAACCCGGTTGCAAGACACAGTCACAGAGGTCATAAGGGAGACTCAGACACCCTGAGAAGTTTAAGCTCAGGCCAACAGGTAACCGAGTCTCACCTGCCAAGCTGAGAACCAGCCACCTAGCTAAGGCTTTCCAAGTAGTGGATGTGCAAGCGCTGGCATGAAGTCCACTGAACTTACTGCCGCCTCCTCACCCTACTGCCTACATCCAACACAGGGCGGAGGCGTAATGGCTTTCCCCATCTGCCCCCAGATTGAATGGTTGCCACAGTCTGGGATACAGACACAGGGGCCTTTGGAGCACGGCGGTCACCTCGTAAACCCACAGCCATAAAGCAAGGTGGAGAAAGTTATCACTTGGGACACTGAGTGACACACAAACTGGGAGCAGCTGGAGCAAATGAACACAGCCCAAGCATGGATACCAACAGCAAACTACAATCAGCAGGCAAGGCGGGCGGGGTTGGACATTCTCATGCCAAAACATAAGTGCGGAAACAGGTCTTGGTAGTGACTCACTATGGGTCCCTGTGTCTGCCGGATTCCACTACTACACCATTCATCTGAAAGCACAGAGGAATTTTTTTCTTGAAGAGAGGAGAGACATCTCTTTTGTTGTTGGTGGTAGTTTCTTGGGAATTTGGGAAGTGTCTTTTTTTCTTATTTTGTTGATTTTTCCTTTATACCTTTTTCCTGTTTGTTCTTTTCTATTACTTTTATCTAATTCTATTAATTTCCTTTTATTCCTAACAGGATCTTTTAGTTCACAACATTCAGAACACAGCACTGGAGAGCAGACACTAACTAAAGAAACCTCCATACTAGCAGCAAAGTCTCTCCCTTTCATCAACCACGACTCTCAACAAAAAAACAAAAACAGAAATACAGGACAAGGCAGCAAATATCTTCCAAAATTTCCACTCTCCCAAAGCTGCCCTGGTACACTGATGGGACGAGGCTGAACCACACAGGTGAACCATATGAAATCATAGACGGGGAGACAGAAACCAGTTCAGTAATGCGCTCGTGAATTCAAACATGATGTAACTAGATAGGTAGCAGACTTAATCAACAAGTGATGAGCTGGGCATGGTAGCTCACGCCTGTAATCCCAGCACTAGGGAGGCTGATGTAGGAAGATCATTGCAAGTTCAAGACCAGCCTGGGCTACAGAGTGAGCTCAAGGCCAGCCTGAACTGCATAGCGAGACCCCGTTTCAAAAAAGACAATAAAATAAAATAAAATAAAAACAAATGATCACTGAACTCATGAAAGAGACTAATAAAAATCTGACTGAGCTAAATGAAACAATAATAAAACATGAATGACTAGTGTAGCAAAGAATTAGCATCTAGGGAGAGGTACAACCCAGAAACCCAACAGATAAAAAGTTCTACTGAAGGTATGGGTGGCAGCAGTGACCAATGAGAGAGCAGAGTGTCAGAACTGGAAGACAGGGCTGAGGCAGGTGACCTGAGCACAGAGATATCTTAAAAATAAGAGAACACAGAAAATGGATCCAACCACTGCTAAATGACACAAAGAAGACAATTCTAAGATTAACTGATATTAGTGGAGAATCTAAAGACAGTACAAATAGGAATAATAAAACCCTACTTACAGAAATAATACCAGAAAACTTTCCAAATATGGGGAATTTACATACAGATAAATGTGGGATACAGAATCATGAATAACCCTGATTGGAAAGAACACAACACATCATAGTCAAAATCCTGTAAGTCAAACACACGGACAGAATCTTAAAAGCTATTAGAGAAAAGCAATACATCATCTATAAAGGTAAATCCATTAGAATCACACAAGACTTAACACAAATGTTAAAAGGTAGCCAAGCTGAAGTAAAGTGTTTCAGGTCCTAGAAGAAAACAATTTCCAAGTGAAATCTTACAAAACTATTTTTCAAAACTGATGGACCATAATGTCTTTCCATGACAAACAGCAACTTAAGAAATTCATGTCCACCAAACCAGCACCCAAAAATTCTCAAAGATATCCTAGAAGAGAAAATGAAGGGAATAATGTGGAAAAGTCTAAAGGAATGAATACACTGTCCCACACCACTCCACCACCTCGGAACCTCAGAGCAGAGGAACCCAGATGCCTCGTCCACTATACCCAGAGATGAGGAACTCGTGCAAGAAGCATCCAAGTCTCAGCAACCCACTCACTCGGAGGAACACAGGAAAATGTCAAGACAAACAGCAGGGTGCAATCTCAGAGCACACCCAGAGTAAGTCCAGGAGACACAGACACAAAATAAATTAGAAGTCACATACCTGAAGTTTCTGAAACGATAGCAACTGAAGTAAAGAAACAACTTTGGGCTTATATTGTTTAACTTTGCATGCCTGTATCTGGTAGTCTGAGCAACTATTTAGAGGATAACAGGGTGCAATAAGTAACTATTACTGATTCCCTATTGTCTTGCTTTTGAAAGCCAAGATCATTCTCATTGTTTTGGTTGAGTCTCTTTAAAATAAAAAATTAAATAAATAAATAAACCATCAGAAGAGGCAAATAAAATCACTACATATTGGTTAGGGACATAACAATTATAAAAAATGTATGTACTCAATACGGGTACACCTAATTTCATAAAACAAAAAAATCAGATGAACATCAACACAATTATAATGGGGTCCTCAATACACCACCATCACAAACAGATCAAACAGACAAAAAAAATCAACAAACAAGTAACAGTGGAACCACACCTTCAAACAAATACTTAAAAGACACTCACCATGTACCACTTAACAAAAGAATCTTGTTACACATTCTTCTTAAAAGCACATGGAACTTTCTCCAAAATAAAGACACTGGCCCATACATCATGCTTAATTAAATATGAAGAAACTGAACCATCCCATGCATATTATCAGATCATACTATAATGAAACTAGAAATCAGTGCCAAAAGAACCCACAGAAAATATGCAAACATGGGTCACAGAAGAAATCGAGGAGGGAATTAATTCCTAGAACTAAGTGTCAATGTCAGTACAACAAAGCAGAACCTATGAGACACAAAGAAAGCTGTCCTGAGCAGAAAGCTTATTGCTGTGAATGCCCACATTAAAAAAAAAACAGGGCGAGCCCAATTAAATAACCTAATGCTGCACCTCAAGCTCTTAGATAAACAAGAATAATCTAAATCCAAACTTAGCACTAAGAAAAAAATCATAAAAGCCAGAGCAGAAATTAATGAAATTGAGCACGCAGGGGGGGCGGGGGCGGGATTCAAAGAACCAATGCATTAAACAACTGATTCGGCAAATAAATAAATAAATAAATAAACAGCAAATCCTAGCCAATCTTACCAAAAGCAGGAAAGAAAAAACATGCTAAATTCCCCCCAAAATAAGACCTAACTGGAAACTAAGTGCTGATTATTACCACAGTGAAGGCCAGTGTCACGCAGATTACCCACAAGTCACTATTTTCTTGCCCAACAGCCACTCTGTAATGGCAGGTAGGGCAAGGTAATTGTGGCTGGCATTTTTGATCTCTAGAACTGGGTCCTATTTTCAAGGAAATTCTACATATGTCAATGCGGTAAGAAATGAAAAAGGCCAAATCACAACAGGCACAGTGAAATCCAGAAGATTATCAGAAAATTCTATAAAAATGTGTACTCAAACAAATGGGAGAATCTACAAGACAGAGACAGATATCTAGCTACATACACATTACCAAAACTGAACCAAGACAGAGACCTTGAATGACTCCATAGTGGGCAATGAACTTGAGGCAGCAATAAACATACCAACAAAGAAAGTCCAGGACCCAGTAGATTTATAGCTGAATTCTGCTAGAACTTCTAACATCAGTACCCCTCCAACTCCTTAATGAAATTGAAAGGGACAGAATACTCCAAAGTCATTCCTAGAAGCTACCATTACTCTGATTCCAAAACCAGATAAGGACCCAAGTAAAAAAGAAAAATTTCTGTAGGAACAAAAGTCTTCAAGATTCTGGCAAACACAATTCAACAAATCATGAAAAAGATCTCACATCATGACTACTGGGCACACAAATCATAAAGCAATACACCACATAAACAGAAACAAGGGGGCTCAGGGGTACAAGCACCTGCCTGGTCAAGTGCAAGGTCATGGGTTCAATACCCAGTATCAAAATAAACAAACAAACAAAAACAAGTACAAAATCACATGATTAACTCAACAGATGCAGAAAATGCCTGTAACAAAATCCAACATATATTCATGATAAAAATTTTAAAAAAGAAACTAACTGAAGAAAATAATTCTTGAGGTTGTTTCTTCATGCTCTATTCTGTTCAAGCACATTCAGCTGTGTGATTTTGGGGGTGTTTTGTTTTATTTCTGTCTTTTTGGAGACAGAAACTCACTATGCAGTTCACTGGCCTTGAGCTGACTTTGTAACCCACCGTGGTCTCAAACCCACAACAATCCTCCTGCCTCAGCCTCCCAAGTGCTGGGATTACAGGCATGCACCTCCATGCCCAGCTAGCCATGTGATCTTTGACAGAAGTCAAAAACATTTGTTGAAGGAAAAAAGTTCCTCTTTAACAAATGGCCCTGGGAAAACTGGCTAGACTCTTACATCTCACCATGCACTGAAATCAACATAGGTCAAAGATCTAATATTAAAACAGAAATGATCTACTGGAAGACAAAATAGGTAAAAGTCCTGAAGACACAGGCAGAGGCAAGGACTTTCTGAACAGAACCCCAGTTGCACAAGAAATAACACCAAGAATCAACAAGTCGGGTTAAAAAGCTTCTGCATAGCAAAGAAAACAATCAATGGAGTGAAGAGACAACCTACAGAATGCGGAAAAAAACCTGCCAGATATTCCTCAAAGGACAAATATCTAGCATATACAAAGAACTCAAAAAAATCAGATCTTCCAAAATAAAAGATCCAATCAAAAAACAGGCAAATGAAGTACTTCTCAAAAAAAGTACAAATGGTAGCTGGGCATGGCGGTATATACCTATACCAGCACTTGGGAGGACTGCTGTGAGTTCAAGGCCAACTTGGAGTATACAGTGGGTTCAAGGCAGGCCAAAATTACACAGCAAGACCTTGTCTCAAAATAAAAACAAACAAAAAAAAAACCAAAGAAGTACAAATTACCAATATACACATGAAAAAATGTCCAGCATCTCTGGTTAGTAGACAAATACAAATTAAAATAACACTTAGATTCTATCTCACTCCAGAAAGAATGGCTATCATCAAGAAATCAAATAACAAATGCTATACAGGCTGCAGGGAAAAAGAAACCCTTCTATATTGTTGGCGGAAGGGTAAACTAACACAACCACTATGGAAATCAGCATGGCAACTGCTCACAAAACTATAGAAACCGTGTTGTACGTAGGTATTTCCCCTCAAATATACTTATTCCACGTCTCTGCTGTTTTTTGGGGGGGTTGTGTTGTTTTGTTTTGTTTTGAGACAAGGTCTCTCTATGCAGTTCAGGCTGACCTTGAGCTCACTTTGTAGCCCAGGCTGGGCTGGAACTTACAATGATCTTTCTGCCTCAGCCTCCCGAGTACTAGGATTATAAGTGTGAGCAACCACACCTGGTTCCATGGCTCTGTTTTGAGGTTTTTTTTTTAACCCCACTTCTAGCAGTTCCAGGTAGTCCCCTTTCATGAGTGTCTTGAATCAAATTCAAAGCTTTTATATTTCATGATTACTTGAACTTTGAGGAAGAGCTAGATCTGGTGAATAAGGTGGATGAGGACACTAGTATTTTTATGATCATGCCTTCCTGTTGGACACCACTCAGTAGCAATATCTGCAATATTTTTGATCACACCTCATAAAGACATCCATGGAAGATGACTTTCAGAACTTTGAGAAAGATGAGGGAAGTGTGCTTGAAGAGAGGGAGTCTATTTTGAGGGGAATTGATGGTCTTGTATCTTTTGCTGTAATACATTTTAAACATTCATCATATATTTGTATCACACCTCATATGTATGCACAGTAACATGGAGTAATCCAAGGAATTATATGTATGTCATAAACAGAAAACAATTAACTATGCATCAAATTTGACAGCAGCAACCTAGTTGAGAACATTAAGAGCAACCTTATGTATAAACTGTTTCTGTAACGTTGATATGTCACATAAACAACACATTAATAAAGATCTTTTAAAATGGTGTTTCTAAAAAGCTTCACAAGAACTTCACAATGGTGCTATAAATACTTAGATTATTAAAACAGCTCCATTTCAGAATGAAAGAAAGAAAGAAAAGAAAAGAGACCAGGGATTTAACTCAGTGGCACAAGTGCCTGCCTGGCAAGCATGAGGTCATGAGTTCAATTCCTAGTGCCAAAAAAAAGAACAGTTCCATTTAGCAAATGGTAGTTTCAGAATAGCCCTACTTTATTACCAAGATTAAACAATTGAGACAGTTGCATAGACGCCTTATACACTTTCCTGAAGTAAACAATTACAACATGACCTTTTCCCCACTGTTTTATTTTTGTTTTTGCCTTAATCACAAAGGAATCTTTTAGGAAATCACTCAGTGGTGGGCCAAGTAATCATATTTCCGTGAACAGTAGACTACACAGCCACAGCTCTATTACACTATATATATATTTTTATGGAACATCACTCTGATGTTTGCAGTCATGGAACTAACAACTTGTTTCTCAGATATGTCCATGTCAAGTGAGTGACACTGTGTATTTCTATAAACATTTTCCCAAAGCTTAGTATTCCTTTGTGTTCAAAAGAATTTAAATACTTTATCAGAAAGTAGGTTGTGACCACATAGCTATAAAAATACCTTCCATTTGAATACATCAAGACTAATACTCACCTAACGTCAGTGATGGTCACTTCTGAGTGATAAAGAATTTTACTCTTTTTTGTATTCTATATTGTTTTATATTCATCTAATGATTATGGTGGCTTACTATGGTTTAACTTATATTTTTACTTTAGAACCATGCAAAAGCAATATGCAGAGTTGTAGAGACCATGCTTGAAGTTCTGAATTCTGCTCCTTTCTGCAATTTACAACATGTAGTGACCACTCCACCACGGTGCAAGGCAGTGGTCCTTTGCTGCAGCTCCTGGTCGGCCATGAGACCAGGCGGAGGAACAGCTGACACTCTACACACACTTACTTCCAGTCTTGACCTGCGAGGCCAAAGGTGAGGCTCTGGGGAAACCACAGGGGACTAGGGAGACAAGCTATCCAAGTTGGGAAAGCTCAAGGACACAGGGCGACATCACAGACGGTCAGAACTGGTGGCAGAAGCAGGCAGGGGCAGCCAGGGAAGGTGTGTGCTCAGTGCCTACCTGTGCATTTCTGTGGAAAAGCAAGTGAGTTTTCATGCCTTGGAAATACTTCATGGGCGCTTAATTTTTTAAAAAACAAAAGTATAGATACTTAGAATTTAAAACTCTCATTCTACTTTCATCTATAAATAAAGTATTTATAAAGGATAAAAAAGAAAACCAACTCACCTGCCTGGCGTACTGGGAATTCCACATGGTCAGAGATTATAATCCGAAGTAAACTGGGGGCAAAATTGATAATCTTGTAGGTCTGAAATTACAAACAAATGTTTTCATAAATGAAAGCAATTTGCATGAATAGCTCCTAGCACCTCCTACTGAATACATTACTTAGCCAAACAAAAGAAACTTTTAATGTGAGAGAACTTCTCAATGATAAATGAAGATTACCGAAATACTTCAGGTGCAAATGATTTCTTTTTATGCTCAAGTTTGCCAAAATGCTCTTCAGAAGGAGTGTGCCAATTTACACTCCTTAAGTTTAATGGATGTGCATACCATCTCTCTAATACATGTACAGTACTGCAGTCCTCTGAAACTCTAAAACCTCTGAAATTACATTCCTTTACCACTGATTGTTTTTGTGGGGGAGAGAATTTTGTTGTGTTTTTGTTAGTGTGTTTTCTTTCTTGTTGTCTGTTTCCTCCACAAAGTACTTACATGCTTTATCCCTTTGTAAATGGGATATTTGGGTTTTTTCTTAATTCTAAGAGCTACTTATGCAATTAAAGTTTCAGTCTTTTATTTGACCTATGCATCACAAGTGTTTCTTCCCAGATTGTTTGTGCTTCAATTCTGTTGATGACACAAAAACAGAAAAATCATCTACTGAACACAGGTGCTCTGTCACTGCACACCAGGCAGACCAGGAGGAGCCCGCACTGAGACCAGGAGCCAGGGCCACTAGCTCGCTCACAGCAGCCCTCTACTAGCTACTGTGCGTGGTGTTCTAGACAAAGCTGACCGAGCTCCTACTCCACCCTGCTGCCCCTCGTTTCACCTTCCAGGCAGGTTTCACTCTGGTCTGCTCCCGAGTTTGGCCATCATGACCTCAGAAACAAAAAACTAAAACGGCACAACCTGTTCCTTCCATCCATGCCCTGTACAGAGGTCAGTGCCCGGGCTTCCCTGCATTGAGCCTAGAGCCCACAGAACTGTGCCCAGGACACTCCTGAAACAAATCAGGCGGTGCCCCTTCCCCTGGACAGAGCCTGGACCTATGGCAGTGCCCCCTTCAGTGTGCATCTAGGCTTGTGCACGCCTTCACACTTTTACTCAATCGCTTCCTATAATTTATTTCTGGTAGCATTTGTTAAGGTAAATGCTTAAGCAAGCACTAATCACTAAAAAATTAACATCTCCAAAGTACTGATCTTTTCCACCTGGGGATACTGCTTTTCAAGTCTTTCCATACCATATCCTTCATTAAATTTTCAATTACCTTGTAATTATTCTTCCTTTCATCCACAACCTTCAAAATCTTAAATGTGTTATAATTGAGATAAATTCTTTTTTATCCGTAATTGAAACCGCCAGAATCTTACAATAATTTTAAAAACTGATTTGTTTTAACAGCAGCTTACATGAGAAAAATTAATAGGCATTCAATGAAGCTTTCTACAAATTCTGCATGTGTTTACAAAAGAACTTGAGTTTATTACTTTTCCTGAGAGATCTTTCAGTAAATCAAAATAAAATACATATAGTTCATTCCAATTATAAAAACTGTTTTTTTAAAATCTTACTACAGGTAAATACAAAAAAAGCTTTACATTAAAATTAAGCTACTTATTTGAAAGTAGCTATTAAATTTCCACATAATTGGCATGGTACACATTTTGTATGCGACTTTCAAAACTTCCAAGACTGTCCTCTTCCAGTTTGGATTCAATCTATGTTACTTTGGTAGCTAAAGCATTCAGGGATAATTTGAATACATTCTCATACAATTTTCCTCATAAATATTACCCAATGGCTTTGCTCCTCCAAGTTTCTAACAAAATAAGCCAACTCTTTTCTCAATGGTTTACTGAGGATAGTTACTTTGTAACATTTTCTGACAGTTTTCTTGCTTAGCTAAGTTCCACATTTTATGAGGACCTGCACAGAGTGAATTCCTGCTGCCTTTCCATTTCTTCACTCACTGCTTTAACTGCACTACCCTTCCTGGTCCCCAATATCCTGGATGAGGGTCTCTCCTGAGCTTGCTGTCCCCCTGCTCTGTCGCAGTGGTCTACAGGTTCCCCACACACGGTCTTGGGCACCACCTCTGCGCACAGGTGACCTCTCCGAAGCTCACTGGCTACGATCCTCGAGAAAGCACCACCTGTGCCATAGCTCAATAAATACCTGACTCATACAGAGCATGATGGGCTGGAGGAGGCAGAGCTCAGTGGGACATTTGCGGAGCACGTGGTGAGCCCTGGGTTCAGCACTTGGGCCCGGTGGAAAGGTAAAAGATGCCCACAGATACATGGCAAGCAGAGATGCCAAAACTTGCAGTGAAAGTTTATCTCCCTGCTGAGGACAGACAAGTGGAGGATGATTTATCAAAGGAACACCACTTTCTGGATGAGTTACTAAGCAAGACGCCCTGCCCAAACCCTCTACACTGAAGCTATGGGGACTTGTGGTAGAGAAAAAGTTAGGAAGGCAAGCAAGACTCACTGTTAGCATCTTGAGAAAAAAACTGAAATCCATTTCCCATAGAAACAGTGTCACAGATGGCAGACAGGAAGCCAGTCACTGGCAAGAGAAAGATGTGGGCCTGAGACAACAGACCTTCTGAGGAGAGGAGAATTTACCCTTGGGAACACAGGCTGTGCAGATGAGGCCGCCTGCCCTCCTCACAGCAGACATGCCAATCTGTGAGCAACCCGAGGAGCCGCTGGCCTCCTGTGCTGGGTACGGGGAGATCAGGAGAGCACAGTGCAGGGGCAGGGCCTGGAATGCTTGCCTAGCATGTGCAGTGTCTTCAGTTCCATCCCCAACATCACAAAAATAAACACATTTTTTTAAAACACAAAAGACAGGGCCTGGGGATTTAGCTCAGCGGCATAAGCGCCTGCCTTGCAAGCAGGCAGTTGTGAGTTTGATCCCCGGTACTAATAAAAAGGAAAAAGACCAAAAAAAAAAAAAAAAAAAAAAAAAACCCCACAAAAGATAAAGTTAGATATCACAGTTTGGTAAAGGACAATATACAAATAAACTTGGTGGCACATGCCTATCTATAATCCCAACATTCTGAGAGGCTGAGGCAGGATGATCTTGAGTTCAAACCCAGCTTGTGCAACACAGTAACTTAGTCAGATCTGTTTCAAAAATAAATAAACAAACTAGGGATGTGTGAAGGGAACTAGCTAGGGAAGGCTAGGGAACTAGCCAGTGTGAAGGCTCTGGGCGCACTCCCTAGTACCATAAAGGAAACACAAAAAGGACAAGCATACATACTCAACAAGCCAGCATAATGACACATGGCTGGATCCCAGCTCTCAGAAGGCTGAGGCAGGAGGAGCACTGCAAGTTTGAGGACAGCTTGAGGAACATAGTGCATTCCAAACCAGCCTGAACTATACAGCAAGACCTTTTCTCAAAAAAAAAAAAAAACAAAGCAAAACAAATCAAAAACATAACTGTGTTTTACAATAAGGGTAAGTGACATTTTACTTTGGTACAGACAATTCCAAAAAACTTAAGAGCATCTCAGAATCCAAAACATTACATAAAATATAAATGCTAAATAAACAGCATGATAATTAACTTTATCTAGTGCTACAGTGAACTTTGTGCATAAATAAGCTATTCTTTAGAAGTTTCAGGGAAATAGTCCATGATGAGTTGGACAGATATAGGGCAGGGTGAAGGTGAAATTAGACTGGATTGGATGAAATGGATTGAAACACTACGAACAAAAATATAGGACTGAGATATCTCCTAGTTCTGCAATCCTTCCTCCCTACCTTCTCCACTCCTGTGACATGGACTGTACTCACACACTGAAGAATCAGAAACAGAACACGATTAGGCTAACAAGAACAGGAAAGTATTCAAAAATATTTTCCCTGCTGACACTATCAAAGTAACCTCTGGCCTCCTCTCCTGTTCATACTAATAGATTCCAAGTTTGGATCTTGTTTTGTTCTTCCTAACTAACCCACACACTGCTATTCCTCCAGCCAATCAACTGCCATGCTAAGAAGGCTAGGGACAGAAACCGACTTTAACTCTCCCTACTCTGGGTGGCAGTCCCTTCCTTCTGAGGCATGCCGGGCTTCAATCCAACACATCCTCCGTTCCAGCAGGGGTTCCACTGCAGAAATGCTCAATCATGCTTAGTATTCACAGATACAGGATTATAGCAGATGCATACTGTAAGGTACAAACATTTACCACTTTGAGAAGAGGTCAGATCTGCTTCTCTGGGAAAGAAGGTCACCTGCCACACGGCCCTGCACAGGCCATGAGACACACCCTCAGGAAAACAACATGGGAGAAAACGAAACATTAAAGGTGGAACCACATGGGAAATTATATTCCCAAAACAAAGTCATTGCAAACTTCTTTTATCTCAGTATTAGCTTCATTTTCTTTTCTCTGTTGGCTGTTTGTGTTGCAAAGTTTGCAACATTCCTGCTCTGAAGTATTTTCGTTCTACTTTTCCCGGAGACTTGATTTTGTTACTGTTTGGAGATAGGGTCTTCCTACACTGCCTCCTGAACTCTAGGTTCCAGAGATCCTCCTACCTCCGCCTCCACAGTAGCTGGGATTACACGGCACTCACCCACTGCACCTGCTTCTATATCTGGGTATTTTTATACTTTATTGGTTTCATTCTTCTCATGGACCCAATCTGAAATTTATTTTAAAAAATTAGTATTTGCTAGGGGGAGCTAATAGTAGACAGTAACTTGATGCGACGGGTTACCTTATTCTACAAACACAGTCACATGGACACACACATACTCTGTGACCCAGATGCCTTCATGTCACTGTGACAAGTGATAACTAGAAGGGGGAGCAGAGGAGTAGGGGACATACCAAAAACTGAGAGGTCAGGTAGGGTAGAGGGACCCTGAAACTCCCTGTGAAATGCCAGGAAGAATGGGGTACACACACATTCTAAAATCACCATCCCCAGGGTGGATTCTCCCTGAAGGCCAGCAATTCTGGCCCAAAAGCCACCCAACAGCCTAAGTGTCAGTCCTGATGACATCCATAGCTAGACAGAAAATTTCTGTCCTGACAGTGTTG